TCTATCTATCTATCTATCTATCTATCTATCTATCTATCTATCTATCTCTATCTATCATCTATATCTCTCTCTCTCTCTCTCTCTCTCTATCTATCTATCTATCTATCTATCTATCTATCTATCTATCATCAATCATGAACCAGGCATCCTGTTACATAGCTCTCAAGGTTTGCCACCTTTGCAAAAAAAAAAAAAAAAAACATTTTCCCCACTCAGCTATTAGTTCCAAAGCTTGCAAAGAGACTGCCCCCACCCCGCATCCAGGCCTGCCACCTCCAACTAGAGGCTCAACAGAGAGTCTTGAGCCCCCTCCCCCCAAAAAAGCCTAGCTACAATCAATTCAATCCAATCAGAATCGAGCTGGAAGGGACCTTGGAGGACTTCTAGTCCAACCCCCCGCTCAGGCAGGGGACCCTATATCAGAGTTCCCCAACCTCTTTCCGGGCTGGTGGCCTAGAGCAAGGGGCAGGGGGGAAAGAGGGGGAAATTTTCTGGGAGAGGCAGATGCATGTGTGTATGTGCAAGCACCTGCAATGGTTGCAGTGATGCCCGAGGGAGTGGGGCCACAAATACCCGCAACGAGGCTCATGCGGGTGGGACCAACCCCCCCCGGGATGCTCCTGCCAACGCTCACCTGAGTGGGGCCATGAATGTGTCTGCACACATGTGGCCCAGTGGCAATTAGGCCCTGTACCATTTCAGACAGGTGGCTGCTCAATCTCTCTTTAAAAACCTCCAGTGATGGAGAAGGAAGGAAGGAAGGAAGGAAGGAAGGAAGGAAGGAAGGAAGGAAGGATAACAGAATAAGAGTTGGAAGGGATCTTGGAGGTCTTCTAGTCCAGCCCCTGTTCAAGCAGGAGACCTTATACCATTTCAGACAGGTGGCTGCTCAATCTCTCTTTAAAAACCTCCAGTGATGGAGAAGGAAGGAAGGAAGGAAGGAAGGAAGGAAGGAAGGAAGGAAGGAAGGAAGGAAGGAAGGAAGGATGGATAACAGAATAAGAGTTGGAAGGGATCTTGGAGGTCCTCTAGTCCAGCCCCTGTTCAAGCAGGAGACCTTATACCATTTCAGACAAGTGACTGTCCAGTCTCTCCTTAAAAGCTCTCCAGTGATGGAGTGCCCTCAACTTCTGGTGGCAAGCTGTTCCACTGGTTAATTGTCCTCACTCTCTCCCCCCCCCCCCCCCCCCTCCCTTCCCTGGTCCACAAAGATTCAATCAATCAGCATATGGGGAACAGGCTTCTCAAGAGCCCCCTCCTGTGCTGGAAGAATCACTCCCCCAAGAATATCAATCAATCAATCAGAATAAAGCTGGAAGGGACCCTGGAGGTCTTCTAGTCCAGCCCCCTGCACAAGCAGGAGAACCCATACATCTCAGACAAGTGGCTGTCCAGTCTCTCCTTAAAAGCCTCCAGTGGTGAATCTCCCACAACCTTTGGTGGCAACTATCCACTTTTGACCTCACCCCCTTCCTAAGAGGTCTGTAAGGGGACGTGCATAAGTGCACCATCCTGCCTACTGTCCCTGTCCTATTGTCCCCATTTATCAGTACCTATTTCCTGTAGTCTTACTCATGTTTATACTTATGCCTATTATCTTGAAAGCGATTGACAAATCAAATCAAATCAATAAATAAAACTTCTGTTCCACTGGCTCATTGTCCTCGCTGTTAGGAAGTTTCTCCCTCTCTCTGGAACACCCTCCCCCCCCCCCCACATTAGAATGGCCCCCCACTCCAGCCCTCTTCCAGAAGCCCCGGAAGGCCTGAAGGTTCTGCCAGCGGGCCTGGGGAACCCAGAGAGGGATGGAGCCCATCGAGAACCAGCCAATGGCTAGAGTGATCTGCTGTAGTAGGGGCGGGAAGTGGGAGTTGGGTGTTTTTCCCCCCAAATTTTGTTCTATTGTACTTTACTAATTTATTTGATTCTTTTTTGTTAGTTTTTATTGGTTTTTTTTATTTTTATTTTTTGTTTTAAATATGGTTTTACATTGTGTAAGCCGCCTCGAGTCACCATGGGTGAATAGGTGGCAATATAAATTAAACAAACAAACAAACAAACAAACGAATGAATAATCTCTCCCTGATTAGTTCCCCTCCATTCTGTGCATCCAACTCTACCTTGCCCTCCTGTTCCCGCAGTTCCGACACTTCGGTCTGCATGTAGAACTTCACTCGGTTGTTTTCAAACATCTGTCCGAGGGGAGAGGAAGGGGAGAGAAGGTCGAAAAACATACCCCTCAAAAGAAGGCCTGACCCCTCCCCAAACATGCCCCCTCCAGGCAGCTGCCTTGCCTTCATGATGGCTCGCCCAACCTTCTCTCCAAAAGATTTCCTGAAGGGCACTTCTTCCAGCTCCACCACCGAGACCGAGTGAGCCTTCTCCGAAAGGTAGGCAGCCACCTCCATCCCTGCAGAATGCCAGAGGGGGCAGGAGGGTTAGGAAGACACTGCGAGAAAGTCCCGGGACAAGCAGAGAGCCTGCGGGTTTGGTGCCGCACAAAGGCAGAGGTTCTGGCTGCTGAAATGGGTCAAGTTGGGTGAAACGAGGACAAAAACAACAGCTAAAAACAGAAACATCTCCATCTTGGATGCAGAGTTTAATTTTCAAGACATATTTAGCCTGTGTTCACACACTGTACTAAACCATGGTTCCTGAGACCATAATTAAGCACATGCTTAGTCCAAACAACTCATTTTATTTCAACGCTAGGAATTATGTTCATTCCCAGCCTGTAATGAGTCCCAAACAGTCCCTCGAGATAAGCACCCACCTTTCTCTCCTTTGAATTGCTGCCAATAAGTAAAATGCCAAATGAACTATAAAAAAACCAACCGAAGTACAAAGTCCGCACAGAGCTTCAAGGATTTATCCGAACAGAGCAAATGACTTTGCTTCCTGCAAAGGTTTCTCTACCTTTGCACTTCCTTTATACCTTAGGGGAGGGGCAATCACCTCCAAGCCTTACTCCCGAGTCGCCCCTTTTGTCTTAGCTGCTCTTGCCTTCTAGCAGCCCTGTGCACATGTGCATTGGGAACAGGCTCCCCTGGGTCCTCTGCCTCGCTGCTGCCAGACTCTGGAGGCTCTAGAGGCAGCACCCCACTCCCAGATGGTCCTGGCCCCATCTCTGCATCAGACGCAGGACTCTCATCCGAGCCCTCCCCAGACTTCTGGATTGGCCCATGTTCCACTGTCCGACTCTGCTGCTGTCTGCACAGGCTGCTGGCGGACCACAACACATGGTTTCCTTAATCATGATTTGTACAATAAACTACAAGCAGCAGGATCTGCTTTGCATGCCATCAACCATAGATACCATGTTTCCCTGAAAATAACACTGGGTCTTATATCTTTTTTGGAACAAAAGACCCATTAGGTCTTATTTTCGGGGATGTCTTATTTTGCAGATGCCCATTTGCTCCCTCCCACCATCTGCTTGCCCGTGGCTGCGACGACTTATAGGGCTTACCAGGGCAGGTGCACTTTTCGCCCAGATGGAGAAATGACAGAGACTCGAAGCTTTTTCTGCTTGCAATTGGGGCACTCCGAAATGCAGCAATTAGCAATTAGGGCTTATTTTCAGGGAAACATGGCAGTAAACCATGCTACTGCATGCTAAGCTCAGATTAAACAAACCCCATTATGAGTCAGCTGCGCTTCCGAGGCTGTATATGCAGCAGCCTTTGCTCACCAAGGAAAGAGGCTCCCACCACCACGGCATTTTTGCCAGTGGCCACTTTGACCACCCTGTTGGCATCTTCCACAGCACGGATGGTGAAGACGTTCTCCACTTCCTTGCCTTTGCAGCTGAGTGTTTTGGGTCTGGAAAGAGAGATTGGAAAGGTCAGGCCGAGGCATCCTCTAAAGCAGCCGTCTCCAACCTTAGCAATTTTAAGACTTGTGGACTTTAACTCCCAGATTTCTTTTGGCTTCATGCAAGGAAAGCAGCAGAAGCAGCAGAAGTCTTTCTTTCTCTCCCTCAAACTCTGCCAGAAATGAGTCTTTGTGAGACTTGTTGCGCCGGCGCATCCTCTTGGAGCAGGAGGCCTTGCAGGGTCCCAAAGACTCATTTCTGGCAGAGTTTGGGGGAGAGAAAGGAAGACTTCTGCTGCTTTCCTTGCGTGCAGCCAAAAGCAGAAGAAGAAAGAAGCAGAAAGAAGCAGCCCGGTAGCCAGGCCAGGCACATGGGGCACGTGGGGCAAGTTTCCCCCCTCCGCCCTTTCTCCCCTCCCCTCACTACCTTGTGTGATTTGCAATGCAAGCGACGCAAGCCTTGTGTACCCGCAGGCCATGTGGGTGGTGCAGACTTGTGTTCCCACGCAGCCTGGATTAATTGCTTTGGGGGTGACATTTCTCTGCAGACCACCAGTGGTTCCTGGCCCACTGGTTGGCAACCACTGTATTAGGGGAATCTTCTCAGATTTTGCATCCAGGCCAGACTAGAGAAGATTCAATGGTATTCAATGGGGAACAGAACTTGCCCTCTTGTGATTACTTAAAGATTCCAGGCTAATTCCCCACTTGACTCCTCCCCCTGGCTCAGCCAGTCTCTGACAAATTTGGGGTGCAAAAAATCCTCCAGCCTAAAAAACAAGACCTCAACACTTGGTGTAAAACCTTCTAGGGGCCACTTACGTGTTTCCTGTTGCCAGCAGCAACTTATTGTACTCCATCTTAAACCCATCCTTGAAAATAGCCGTCTTGTTCTTGACATCCACTGCTGCCACCTGAAACAGTATGGACAGATCCTTAACAGTAATTTCTTAGCTCTTCTTTGTTTTCCTATCAGAGCAACACACAGCTACAGACTTGTTATGTCCCTTCAGCAGCTGAATCAGAGGAGGAGGAGGAGGCCTGGGAGTCAGGGTCAGCATCCAGGCAACCTGAGAGGTCTGAGAGGAAAGAGGGAATGGAGCTGGCAGGCAGAGAGAGAGAGAGGGGTGGAGCCTGGGCCGTCCGTCAGGCCTCAAATGGAGAATCAACAGCCTGCAGGTCTGGAGGTGGCTGATAAGGAAGAGGAGGAACAGCCGGGTCCAGTGCCTGACGCATGGATGTGCAGAGGAGAGGAGAGCAGTGGAAATCTATGGGCTGGTCCTTGGGACGGAAGAGCCACTGCTGCTAGCAAAGACCCACTCTAGCTCTGGGGATAAAAGGCAGGGGGAGGAGATGAAAAGGTGTAGCAGACAACCATTCATCTCCCTGCTGGACGGACTTATTAGCCTGCGTTGAGAGAGGAACTTTTTGCCGGGGCTGCTGGCGCTCTTAATAAAGGAATCTTTGAGTTAACTTCAGAGGGTTGTCGTGTTTGGGGAGCTGGGTCAGAACAAGAGTCCACACTGGGGACAGGCTTCAAGGATCCAACTGCATCCATCCTGCCCATTTTAGGAGATGAAACTAGGCCGGGTGATGTGACCTCCCTCCATAGGCACCTGGTTTGGTAAAGCAGTTCTCAAAAGGGTGGGTTAAATCAAACCATCTCTGGATTAATAACAAAGTCCATTTTTGAGTGCACGTGGCTCACAGACTCTCCCTTCACACATCCCACAAAGAGAGCCAGGCCTTCTTTGAAACTCCTCTCCCCCCCACACACACACTCACAGACAGACCCTCACCTGCATTTCAGTCAGGACCTCAATGTCGTTTGTGCGGAAGAATTCTTTCGGACGCAGAGCAATCTGGTCAGCGTGGGAATCCATTGACTGAAAGCAGAAGTCAATTCCGTTCTTAGTAAAGGTAAAGGTTCCCCTTGCACATCTGTGCTAGTCGTTTCCGGCTCTAGGGAGCGGTGATCATCTCCATTACAAAGCCAAAGAAGAGCCAGCACTGTCCAAAGACGTCTCCGTGGTCATGTAGCCAGCATAACTAAATGCTGAAGGCGCACAGAATGCTGTTCCCTTTCCACCAAAGAGGTCCCTATTTTTCTACTTGCATTTTTTACATGCTTTCAAGCTACTTAGTTGGCAGAAGCTGGGACCAGTAACGGGAGCTCACTCCATTACGCTGTGCTAGAGATTCAAACCGCTAAACTGCCGACCTTTCAAGCTCAGCGTCTTAGCCACGGAGCCACCACGTCCCTTCAATTCTATTCCTAGATGACTTCCGGTGGCGTTTCCGTCAAAGATGGATCAGAGACCGCGATCATGTGCGGCTTTGATCCATGTTTACCTTGTTGGAAGGGTCCCTGTAGGACCGAAACCATCTGACTCACCTTGGATGGGTGGGGGAAGAGGGGGAGATCGCCAGCTGGGTCGAGGGGAGCCACATCTCCCCTCCCTGGCTAGGTATTAACTCCCCTGGAAGACGGGGAAAAACGGCAGTTTAATGGCTGCCCTGAAGACGGAAAGCTGCCAGGACCTAAGTATGCGCTGGAGCAGTGAAGTGATGAGCGACATGTAACCAGAATAAAGAACCTGAATTTTTTAAAAATAACCCCGCGAAGCAGAAAGAAAGAGCCCTTGCTTAAGAGTATGACAGCAGCAAACAGAAAATAAGAGGAAAATATAAAGTAAACAAAATTGGATTATAAAAAGCTACAACGAAATTAGAGATTAAATTTGGAAACAATACATATAATTTGGCATCAATTAGGCATTGGACAAAATGCTGGACTTGCCTGGAATTGACTATATTTAAGAAAGCTAATAGTGGAAATAGTTGAAAATTAACGTTAATATAATTGAAAAGAGAAAAGAAAAGAAATGTTAGGCATCCAGAAATTAGGCGTAGTAATCAATCACTCCGAGACAAGCATAATCTCCAACTGATTTATTAGGAACAGCTCTGGTACGTCTATGGAAATTTCCAAAACTGAAACTCATTCCCAGCTTATCTCATAAAGTCCACCCTATCTCCTCCCACTTACTACACTTCATAAATCACGAAAACCAATTCACTACAGCTGGAATTTTTTAATGCGACATATTAAATAACCTTGAACTGTTCAACTCCTTCACCCACCTTCATTGTTCACATATATTCTTGTGGCAGCTGAATCTCAGAGCTGACAAGAACTTTAAAAAGTGGAAAGTGATATAGAGTGCCACCTAATGGTTAAAGACTTTTTTCCTTCATGATTTTATGGAAAATCACTGGTCTTATAATTGCTATGAGATAAAAGAATAATAAAAGAACATGAACCCCAGAAACTTTAAAAAGGGGGAAGAAATTGTAGTAAGAGGATAAACGAAGGCAATATTCTGGGACTGTTGCGTGTTGATTGTAATAAAGAGGCAGAAGGATTAATAAGGGCAATAGAGACAAAAGGAGACTTTTGGCAAGGATCGCAACAAAAGACTTTGAATTTTAATAACTCAACTGATTTTTTTTAAAAATGGAAGGAATAAGCAAAGTCGGAATTGCAAACTGTAAGAGGAATGCTGAAAGAAAGAAGGGAATTATTGGACATACTGGCAAAAACAATAATGGCGATGCAGCCCGTAGAAGAACAAAGAAATCTCAAAGAGGAGGAGTTAAAGGAAGAGGAAAGTGACTCAGATGAACATGAAGAACAAGAGATATTGCCAAAAGACATTAAAGGAACTAAAACTATGACATTGATGACAGTTAATAAATAAAAGAGAAAACGCTCCCAGGATTAAACACAAGAAGAAGAAATTCTACAAGAAGAAACTTCAAAAAAGAGAAAGGGTGGGGGAGAAGGTGGGTGACTGGCAGATGGAAATAAAAAGGAAAGATCGGGAAAACTTAGAAAAGGGAAAACTAGCTAAAACCAAGAGAAATGACAAGGCCGAGAGATTTAGAGATAAGGGTTAGATAAGATAAAAAAGGGGGATGCCACATGGGAATGTATTTGGGTATTTTTTTATTAGAAACTTAAAATGGGGAGATTTGAAATTCAAAATGTATTGGGAATTATCCTAAGAGTATTATATAACTATATAAGAGAAAAGTGAAGATGAACTAAGAGATGTCAAGAGGGTTTTATTATTATTAATCTGTGTATGTGTGTGTGTGTGTGTGTGTGTGTGTATATATATATATATATATATATATATATTTGTTTTCTTAAGTTTTCATGGGTATTTATATGTATGGTATTCAGCTTTCATTATAGTTGTGCTTTTAAAGTTGTAGCAATGTTTCAGCAGAATCTCATCTGCCATCATCAGGCTGCTGTATTGTGTTCATCCTGATTGGTTGGGAGTCTTGGTCTGTGTTTATTGGACCAAGACTCTCAACCAATCAGGATGAAGAAAAAACCATTCTGGCACAGCGTAGGCTAGCACCAAATTTAAAACAGAAACGGCTGTGAACCTCCGGTTTGAGCAACAGACCGAAACCTCATCTCTGTGAGGCTTTGATCCATGCTCGCCGCTGGAGCGCCCCGAGCCGGCTGGTTTCGGGGCTAAGCCACCCCGTAGAGGTGGTGAAGATGGGGGAGACTGCCAGCAGGGTTGAGGAGAGCCGCATCTCTCCTCCCCAGCTGGCCATTACTCCCTTTCCCGAAGGCAGTTGCAGCGGTGGTCAGAAATGGCCACCACAAAAAAGAACTCGACCAGAAAAGAATGTGCAGGAGGAAGATAAAAAGAGAAAGTTTTGGTTGACTGGGTCAAACAGCAAAAGCAACAAATAAGGTACCCTGGAATTGAAACTGTTAAAAACCAATAACATTGTTCCCTAAGAAGATTTTTAAGCTGCGAAGGAGAGAGAAAAGGGAAAAGATTTGGTTTTCTCCTTTTCCTATACTGACAGCTAAGAGACTTAAGCAAGAAATTGGAAAAAAATCCACTTTGACATCAATAGGCATTTAATGCTGAAAATAAAAAGTCAAAGGGATAATACAGATTTCTGGATAATTAAAAGTTTTTGAAAACAGGAAAGGAGAGAAAAAGAATAAAAGGGTAAGATCTGGAAGGGAGGAGACTGCCTGGAATTAAAAAAGAACTTACAGCAAAATCTCAACAAGACTTCCAAAAGATACATTCTAACTGAAATATCGCAACAAAAACCCCAGGAAGAGAAAGTCGAAAAAGAAATAAGAAGATATAACTTGGGACTATCTGGATTACTTGATGATTTCTGGATTTTTGGTTATTGTTTTGAATGACTAAAATCAATCGGGTGGTTGTTTAAAACTGTTTAAAATGGCTCTACTTTTAGAAGAACTGAAAATGGAACTTAAAAAGTACAAAGAAGATGCACAAGAACGGAGAGGTTCTTTTGGCTTCGTATTTCAGTTTTTAGAAATGGAGATTTGGAATGATGAGAAACAACAAGAAATGCCTGCAGAATAAGAAGATTGCGACAAAGAAGAAGCCATCTTTAACGAACAAGTAATCTTAGATGGGGGAAAGGGGGGAAAGAGAATGGAAAGTTTAAGATTGGGAAAAACAACTCCAAAAAAAAATAGAGTGAAAAATAAGTATAAAATCAGAAAGCAACAGAAGAGGGAAATGCAGAAGAGAGAATTAGAACTAGAGAGACAAGGGGGTAAAAAGGGGAGGGAGAAGATGAGAGGGAAGAAAAGAAAGGGAAAAAAGTTATAAAGGACAGAAGCAAAATATAGAGAAACAGTGCCTATTTAGAGATAATGGGTGAAAACAATGGAAAAAGGGATTCTGCAAAGGTGCATAAGATAGTATGGTTATATTAGAAGCAGAAATAATTTTAGAAAATATGAAACAATGTATGATTAAAATATCTGATAAAATAGCTATCGTAATTCAGTGGAATGCTTGTCAATAAATAAATGTAACAAAAGGTATATTTAATGATTTATAAAACATATGTAAAGAGAAATAAGGGAAAAATTAATTATGGAGATTATATGTGTTTTTAAGGAAATATGATATTTAATTGAAAAGAAGTGTTAAAGATGTTAAGATTTTAATTATTATTAATGATAGAACAACTGGAATGGAATGAGGGTTTATAATTACATATATTTACAATCTTTTTTTTTTTTAAAGAATATAGTGTGTATTATAAGAATGTACCAAGCAGAATTCGATTGGAAGTTATGTATTATGTATTATATTGAAGGTCATAAACTTAAGGTATATATTGAAGTTGAAATAAGAGTTGAATGGATGTAATTAAAAGATATAAAGGTGTCATACTCCAATTAGTAACTACAGGAGAAAATTTGTTTAATGAGAAAAGATAATATGAAATTGAAACAGAATAGACAAAAGTATAAATATAATGATTTGAATTGAGATGAGATAATCAAAATAAAATTGAGAAAATTAAAAGAGGGGAAAAACTATATAGAAAATGTAAAATAGTATAAGATATGGAATAGAATACAAAAAGGAGCATGAAACTGAGTTTTGTGTCTATATAAAGAAGTTCAACCTGGGACCATGCTATTTTCAAAAAAGATGTTTTACTTGTATTTTGTATGTGTGAAAACCCAAATAAAACTTTATTAAAAAAAAAAAAACAGAAACGGCTGTGAAAGTCTGTCTCACAGATGAACACTATACAGAAGCCTGATGATGGCAAATGAGATCCTGCTAAAACGTTGCTACAACTTTAAAAGCACAACTATAATGACATGGGAAAATACCCAAACAAAGTTGAATACCATACATATAAATACCCACGAAAACTTAAGAAAACATATACACTGCTCACAAAAATAAAGGGAACACTTAAACAACACAATGTAACTCCAAGTTAATCACACTTCTGTGAAATCAAACTGTCCACTTAGGTAGCAACACTGATTGACAATCAATTTCACATGCTGTTGTGCAAATGGAATAGACAACAGGTGGAAAGCAGAGGCAGTTAGCAAGACATCCCCAATAAAGGAGTGGTTCTGCAGGTGTTGACCACAGACCACTTCTCAGTTCCTATGCTTTCTGGCTGATGGTTTGGTCACTTTTGAATGCTGGCGGTGCTTTCACTATAGTGGTAGCATGAGATGCAGTCTACAACCCACACAAGTGGCTCAGGTAGTGCAGCTCATCCAGGATGGCACATCAATGCGAGCTGTGGCAAGAAGGTTCGCTGTGTCTGTCAGCGTAGTGTCCAGAGCATGGAGGCGCTACCAGGAGACAGGCCAGTACATCAGGAGACGTGGAGGAGGCCGTAGGAGGGCAACAACCCAGCATCAGGACCACTACCTCCGCCTTTGTGCAAGGAGGGACAGGAGGAGCACTGCCAGAGCCCTGCAAAATGACCTCCAGTGGACCACAAATGTGTATGTGGCTGCTCAAACGGTCAGAAACAGACTCCATGAGGGTGGTATGAGGGCCCGACGTCCACAGGTGGGGGTTGTGCTTAGAGCCCAACACCATGCAGGACATTTGGCATTTGCCAGAGAACACCAAGATTGGCAAAGTCACCACTGGAGCCCTGTGATCTTCACAGATGAAAGCAGGTTCACACTGAGCACATGTAACAGACGTGACAGGTTCTGGAGACACCGTGGAGAACGTTCTGCTGCCTGCAACATCCTCCAGCATGACCAGTTTGGCAGTGTGTCAGTAATGGTGTGGGGTGGCATTTCTTTATGGGGCCGCACAGCCCTCCATGTGCTCACCAGAGGTAGCCTGACTGCCATTAGGTACCGAGATGAGATCCTCAGACCCCTTGTGAGACCATATGCTGGTGCGGTTGGCCCTGGGTTCCTCCTAATGCAAGACAATGCTAGACCTCATGTGGCTGGAGTGTGTCAGCAGTTCCTGCAAGACGAAGGCATTGATGCTATGGACTGGCCTGCCGTTCCCCAGACCTGAATCCAATTGAGCACATCTGGGACATCATGTCTCGCTCCATCCACCAATGCCACGTTGCACCACAGACTGTCCAGGAGTTGGGGGATGCTTTAGTCCAGGTGTGGGAGAGGATCCCTCAGGAGACCATCCGCCACCTCATCAGGAGCATGCCCAGGGGTTGTAGGGAAGTCATACAGGCACGTGGAGGCCACACACACTACTGAGCCTCATTTTGACTTGTTTTAAGGACATTACATCAAAGTTGGATCAGCTTGT